AGAGTGGGCCTGGCCCCACAGCCCGATAGAGAAACAAGTAGCTTCCAGCACCAGCAGAGAAGGCCTCTGACCCCTCTGACCCCTCTGACCTGGAGCCATAGGCCTCCTCCTGGCTCCCTCTCCTCAGATTACGATGCCTAACCGAGGTTGCCCAGGAGACAGCAGGTCTTAGTCCCCGGCAGCCCTTGCTGGCCTCCAGAGCAACGCATGCTGTCAGGGGCACAGATGTGGCTACCATAGGCCCAGGTGGCTGAGCCAGCTCATGTGTCACCTACCTTGCAGATACTAGAGTGTGCACACACAGAGGCCTGGAGCTGGGACATGAAGGCAGGTGCTCACTGTGATGAGACTGTAGGAGGAGGTGCGCTGGGTACAGGTCGTCAATCCAGGCCCGGGGTATCCAAGTCCCTCTGCACTAGACATACCACCAATGCCGGCCTCCACGCGAGCATACACCAGAGCCTGGCTGAGACGAGGCCAACGGGGAGTCCAGCAGGGAATTCAGCCTAGAGTTAAAGACTCAGGAAAATCCTGCTGGGAAAGACCTCATCGGAGTCCTGCTCACACCTGGGTTCTTGGCCTGCCTCCACCGCTAACCGGCTGGGCGGCCCCCACTGGAAGAGGTCATCTAACTCTACCTTCCAGGCTGAGCAGAAATTCTCACAACCCCCTGACAAAGGATCATCCAGCGTTTCTCCAAACTTCCAGGGACTGGAACTTCTCTACCCACAGGGCAGCCTGTTCCTATTTGTTAAAAAGCATCTTTGCCCGGCCGGAGTGGCTCAGTTGATTGAGCATTGTAATGTACACCAAAGGGTTGCTGGTTCGATTCCCAGTTGCATTAGGTCTGGATATTTCTTTCTCTCTCTCCCTTCCTCTCTCTACGCATATCCTCGGGTAAGGATTGAAAAAGAATAAAAAAGAAAGCATCTCTTTCCCTAAAGGCCTGGAAGGACCCCACACCAGATATCAACAGTGTCACCTCTGGGGAGGAGAGTGGGACTGAGGGACGATGGCGGGGGCTGCCCTGTTAATTTGGTATAGACGCTTTTGATAGCATGTGTTAAATTCACAGTGGCAAGGAAAACAGAAAGTAAGGTTCTTTATAGAACCCAGTCTGCCTGCTTAACATTTCCACCTGGGCCCAGGTCTGCTCTCTGGGCCCAGAGAATAATCTAAACCCACTTCCCCTCGATGCCCTCCGAGTACCTGAAGGTGAGCATCACGTTTCCACCGAGTTTCTAACTTGGTTTCCAGTCAGGTCCCCACCGGTCATCCCCTTCGGAGCACAGACAATAAAACTCAGAGGGCTGCAGGAGGAAGCAACCAATCGCTCCTTGAGTTGAGTGTTACCACCTGATAATTAATTACGGAAGCCCGAGGAGACATCCTCACCTTTCTTTTTTTTTAAAGTACTACTTTCTTTTAAATACATCTTCATTGATTTCAGAGAGAGGAAGGGAGAGGGAGGGAGAGATAGAAACATCAGTGATGAGAGAGTCATCGTTGATCGGCTGCCTCCTGCCGCCCCCGACTGGGGATCGAGCCCGCAACCCGGGCATGTGCCCTGACCACGATCTCCTGGATCCTAGGTCAATGCTCAACCACTGAGCCATGCCCTGCCGGGCGACATGTCCTCGCTTTTATGTGTATGTGGGGGGGAGGGGAACAACATGATCAGATCGCTCACTTTCTCAAGCCTTGGTTTCTTATCTATAAAAGGGGAAAACAGTACCTTTGCTATGACAATCACCTGATAGGAAGAACATAAAAACATTAAAAAGCACACATCCCTACCCTAGGGGGTTCTATCTTAGGTACCCCGTTCCATTCAGACAGCAGCTTAGCATTGGGCCCGTAGAGCCAGACTCCTTGGGCTCAATCCCACTTATCGGCTGTGTGACCTTGGAGAAGTGACTTGACGTTGCTGTGCTATTTACTCTGTGGAACAAGGATGACGACACCTCCACCCTTGGAATGCATTTTCAGGAGCATCAGTGGTATTGCCCAGCACCCAATGTTAGCTGCTTGGTATCACCCTGAGTCTTAGTCGTTCACCAGGAGAAAAGGCAAAGTCATAGCATCTACATGAAAGGTGAGGCCATCCCACCGCACTGGCCAGTTGTTATTGGGGTGAGCTGTCCCACGCCTGCCCCCCTATTTGTAAGCAGCGATGATGAGACAGGCGCTGTGCTCAGGGCTCTACAATCCGGCCTCACTGCTCTCCCAACAGCTCCAGGACATCGACAGCATCGTTACTCCCATTTCACAGACGAGGAAATAGAGGCTCACAGCTTCAGTAATTTGTCCAAGGTCACACAAGTGGTGGAGCCAGCACTCGAACCCGAGTCTCTCTCACTGCCGGTCAGTCTCCATCACCACTGTCCAGCTTCGGGGACCAGAGGAAGGAGCACCTGGTCCTCCTGGACAGAAATGCCTGGTTTCCAGTCAGGTCCCCACCGGTCATCCCCTTCAGAGTGTGGTGGGAGGAGGGGCGCTCTCCTGCTTCTCACTGAACTCTCCCCTCCAGGGGTCACGGGGACCCCAGCTGCATCTCCTTGGGTCCCCTCTGGACCACCCTGGCAGCTGGTACCCCACACTGCTTGTTGGGCCCTCTGCCCCTGATCATGAAATGGTTCCACATGATCTACAAAACACACACACAAAAACAGAAAACGGGAAAAAAAAAACAGCCATTTTGGACGTGGGCCCTGGTGCGTAACATCATTACGGAGCCGGCAGTGCGTCCCACCCCATTATCGCCTGGCCAAGCTTCTCCAGGCGAGCTGGCTGCAAATGGCTTTCTCCTGTCTGCGGGGGAGGGTCGCGGCCCCCACTTGCCCTGCGCCGCCGGAGGAGAGGCTTTATCTGTAATTGACAACTGGCCGCCAGCCACGCCGGCCTCTGCGGGCCCAGGCTCCAAGCCCAATTTTCCCTTCCGCTTCAGGAACAGGCTTCCCCTTGCATCTTCCCTCCCCTCCGCCCTGCGGTCCTCACCCCTGCTCCCCGGTGTGCTCTGTCCTCTCTCAGTGTGGCTGGGCCCAGAGATGGCAGAAATCTGGAGAGCTACAGGAAAAGGGTGGGGCAGGAACACAACGGTGCATTTACCGCAGGTCCGCATCGAGACACAGGACACGGCCAGGTCTTTACACCCTGTCTCTGAAGTAGGCGCTACCATTAACCCCATTGTACCCATAGGGAAACTGAGGTTTGGTGAGTTGTCCCAAGTGACCCAACTAGTAAGTGGCAGGTCCAGACTTTAAACTGAGGCCCTTATGACTCTATGATACCTGGAGTAGGAGTAAGACGAGAGTAAGAACAAACATGCACCCAGACCTGGCTACGTAACTCACAGGGCCCAGTGCAAAATGCAAGCCTAGGGCGCCTTTGTCAATAATCATCAGTCATTTGGAGACGGCGACAGCTGAGCTTAAGTCAAGTGTGAGGACCTTTTGAGCAACTGCCCAGGCCGCATGCCCGTGAAGCCAGCCCTGCATGTGCGCCATGTGAGTGACAGTGAGGGACCACAGCTGACTGTCACTTCCCACTACCCCACCCTCTCTGGGCCCTGGAGGCGTTTATTCCCCAGCCCTAAGTGGTCCCGGTTGTGCCACCAGTCCCTTGTAGGCCTCGGTTCGTCAGCCATCCAGGCATCGCATGACTCGGGCATCCCCAGGGCCCTGGCCCACATAGAAGTGGTGCGACTTCAGGAGGAGGGAGGCCCCTGCACAAACAAGCAGGAACACAGTGACTTCCCTAAACAAACAAGTCTCTTCTTCCATGTGATGGTGGGGGGTCACCTGGCACAGGAGCTCAGAACACTGCCTGGGAGGGGTCCCGGTTAGTGTGTGGACTTGGGGCAGATCACTCTTGCTCTC